CCCCCCTCGCAGGCCCCACCACCTCTTCCATGAAGAACCGCAGGCCCTGCTACCACACCGCTGCCCGGCCCTGCTGGCCTGCTCCCTGCCGGCAGAGTCCCGGGGCACACTGGGGGTTCTCTGCTTCTCCAACTTCTGCCTGGAGACTTGGGTGCGGGGTGCTCTCCCGTATGACCTTTCCCCCAGCCAGCACCTGGCATCTCACCGTTCTGACTCCGTTTCCCCAGAGTGGAGCAGTGCCTTCTCAGCTCTGGAGAGAAAACAGACCCTGTTGGAGCTGGCTGGCCCACTGTGGCTGGAGGATGCTGGGGGCTGACACCCCCATAGCACTTACTGGAAAGACAGACCGTCTTGGGGGCGTGCACTGCCGAGGGGCGGGGAGAGGAGGAGTCCAGGGCCCACTGAGTTCACTTTGTTTGGTGGGGCGGCCTGCTTTAGATATCGACTTGTTTTTGCACATGTTTCCTCTCGTTTCTTTGTTCATAGCCCAGTAGACTTTGTTACTTCTGAGGTAAGTTAAGTAAGTTGATTTGGTTATCCCCCATCTTCCCTAATCCACGGTGAGGAGATAGCATCAGCGCTAAAGAAGACTTTCTTTCTTTTTTTTTTTTTTAACTAGAAGAACCAAATCTGGAAGCTACCATATAGGCTGAGTTTGTGTGTGGTCTCTGAGTTTGTTGCTCACGCGCGCAGCGGGGTCTGGAGTGTGTGTTGGGCGGCCCCGCCGGCGGGCTGGCCCATCCTGGCTGCCGTGGGCAGTCACCTCCTTCGAGCAGTCGTCCCTGTGTCTGTGCACTTGGGGCTGCTGCTGGGGCCTGTGCGCAGAAGAGCCTGTGTGAGAACGGAATCCTGACCCCTCAGCCTGGGGCGTTGGAGGACCATGGGCCCAGAGGGTCTCCCACAGGCGCCATTTCTGGGGGGACACTTTCTCCTAGAAGGTGACGAGAGAGATGTGGGCACGCCTGGTATTGAGCCGCTCCACGAAGGACCAGGCTCACCTTTGCTTAGCTCCTGTGGCCCTGCCTTGGGCTGGAATCAGGAATGTTCCAAAGAGTGATAGTCTTTTGCTTTTGGCAAAACTCTACTTAATCCAATGGGTTTTTCCCTGTACAGTAGATTTTCCAAATGTAATAAACTTTAATATAAAGTAATCACGTGAGCGCTACCACTGTTATGTCTTCTCTCTGTGCTGGTGGTGCGGATGTGACCGGCCTTTCCTCTAAACACCAGCGGTACCAGGAAACCTGGCTAAAAGCTCTGTGCCTTTCTTTCCTGGTGGGAGTGATTCTGGGGCCAGAGGCCCTCTGGCTTTTGTTTGTTTGTTTGTTTGTTTTTGTCTTTGCTAGAAATCTTCTGGAGGTCGGTAGGTTCAGCCAAGGTTATATGAGACCTGATGTAAATGTCTGTCACCAAGCTCAAAGCGCCGTCTTCCTAAATGGCTGAAGAAGCTGTGACAGCCCCCGGCACAGCCTGACCCAAGGCCACTGGAGCCAAGGCTTGCCCCTCAGACACTCGGGGTAGTCCTCTCACACCTTTGCCAGGACCACAGGCCCCCTAGCCCGGGGCTCCTGGGAACTCCTGTCCTTGCTTTAATTTGACAACCTTCTGGCTGCTGTGTTGGCACCCGCCCCCCCCCCACCTGAGGGGGGCTGTCTGTGATTCAGAGTGATGCACTGCCAGATGAAGGGAACCTGGCTCTGTGTTCAGTACTGGACTTTCTGCCCAGAGTGTGTGACTGCATATGACTTCAGGGGTGGGCAAGGGGTCCGGGGCTGCTCATGTCATGTCTGCTGGCTTGTGGGGCAGCGCCGAGCCTGTGGCTGGGCCCATTCGTGTAACTAATAATAAACGGTACTCGTCATTTCGGGCCGTATTGATGCTCATCCCTCCTTGCCCTGGCAGTGTCCTTCCTGTCACCTTCAGGGGAGGCTGGCTCTGGGCTGTGCTGTGGCTGTTACTCCGCTGTAAGGCAGGGCTGTGTCTGCCTCTGCCCTCCTCCCCCAGCCCTCGGCCCAGCCTTCACCGTCCTCCAGGGCTCTCTGCCTCCCTCCCTCCTGCCCAGCCCCCCTCCCTCTCCTAGATCATTCCCTTCTTCAAGGACATGAGCGCTCCTTTCCCACTCAAAGTTTGCCCGCTATTCTGTTTGCTCATTGTCGCAAATCAACTAGCCAATGGTCTAGAAGAGTTGTCTGCTCATTGGGAAAAAATTGCATGTAAAATTTAGGGGTTAAAAAGCTTAGTGTGTTGCAGGAGCCCCAGTGTTCTAGGGCCTCTTGCTGCCCGCCCCTTAGTCCTGTCCTGGCTGCCGACCCCCACCACATCATCAGCTGCCCCTCCATGGCAGGCTTCCCTGCCATGCACCCCCAGTGGGGCAGGGACGGCAGGCTCCAGAGTGAATTCTACCCTGCGTGACACATTGTTCTCTAAGGGTTTGGGGCTGAGACAGGACCTCAGATCATTCAGCAAAGACCGAAAATGCTGACTGCCTATTTCTGCCAGTCCCTGAGCTGGACAGTGAGGCACAGTTGAAGAAGGGGAAGCTTGGAGAGTAATACTTTTCCCGATCTTACTATGGGAGGGACACTGCTAGACATGACACCTGGATCATTTCCTCACTACCTATAACTCCTCAGCTGGCTATGGGACGGTACTGCTATTAATTATCCCCGCTTTGCAGCCAAAATCCATGGTATAAGGAGGAAGTATTTGCCCATGGTCTCACACCAGTGAACAGCGGAGCTGGGATTTGAACAGCCTGAGCCACAATGGGCCGTGCACACGCTGAAGATGGTATTAAGACTGCAGGAGGGTGTCTCCTCACGTGGGACCAGCAAGGTCCCACGACCCCAGCCTCCTGGGCTACCAGCTCCTGTCATATTCAAATAGGCTGAACTGTGCCCTTGCCCCACTGCTCTCTCCACTCACTCTGCTAATTATTCCTACTCTGTGCCTCTGCCCTGGGTCACCCCCACACCTGGGCACTGCCAGGACAGGATGGTGTTATAAACTAGGCTTTGCTGAGTGTGTAAGACTAATTGTGAAGAAGCTATTATGTGAATGGGTTTAAACATCATCTTCAAATTTCTCAGGACCCCAACCTCAAGGAGTTTATGTCCATCCTTCCTCAAGCCTTGGCTTGCTGCCCTACTTCCCATGACCTTGACCCCTTCTCTCTTTTCTGCTTCCCCAAGACCTCCCCGCCCTGCCCCCATGCCTGAGAACACAGCACTATTTCATTCTCACCTTTAAAGCAGACCCACGGTGTGGCCCCACTGTGTGTGTTTGTGTGTGTGTGTGTGTGTGTGTGTGTGTGTGTGTGTGTGTGTGTGTGGTTTTGTATGTTGTATGGAGATGGCGGGACTCACTGAATTTCTGCTGAGTTCTTCCAAGTTATTTTCTGAACTAGTAAGTCATCTTTTCTTTGATCATCTCCTCCTTAATTTGCAGCCAGTTTCTGCCTTAAGTTGCCCTGCCTGCCCTGCCTGCCTCTTGGATTTTGCCGAGGGGAGCACTGTTTTCCCAGCCGTAACAGAATGTGCCCCCTGCTTGCGGGGATACTGTGGGCCAGGGGAGACAGACGAGTCCCAACAACAGAGTGGCTGCTGTGGGCTAGCGCGGGGAGATGGCACCTCACCGGGCGTGGCATCTGGGTCACGGGAGGTGCCCAGAGGTGGCGCTTGAACTAGGTCTTGAAGAACAGATTCACTTCGGCCTCTCAAATGGGGAAGAAGGCACAACTTTGGCAAAAATAGGGACTCGGGGCTTCAGGCTGATTGTGCGGGGTGAGGGCAGGTGTGGGAGAGGACGGGTCTGGAATGTGGTGAGAAAGTGGGGGCCACTCTGCCCTGAACCTCCGTGAGGGCCTCGGAGCAGATGCAGGATGGAGGCCCAGGGACAGGAAAGGGCTGGTGTGGTGAGAGCTGGGCAGGAGGGGTTGGCTTGGAGAGTTTGTTAAGAGGGAAAACTGTTCCCACTTCCCTGGGTATCACCTTGTCCTCCCACAGGTGCACTCCTCATGTGGAGCCTGGGAGAAAGGTGCCTCCCGTGAGGTCAAGGGTGAGGGTGAAAGGGGGCAGAAAGGGCCATTGTCTCACACCCCGCTCCCAGGCTAGGCACTGACGGTAGGCAGACCCCAAAGCAGCAGCTGGGACAGAAGGCTTCTCTGAAATGGGTCCGCAGGGAACTACTGCAGAGGCACACCTGTCTGCCTCTTCCTGTCAGCCCCACCCCACCTGCCTTCTCAAGCCAGAAGCCTGACTGGGCTGCCCAGGGGGGAAGGGGCGCTAGGGCCCCTGGAGCTGCACGGGCTATGGCGAGAGGGCCCCGGCCCTGCTCTGCCTTGTGGCGGGCACAGCCCTTACCTGCCTTTCCCGGCTCCTGCTCCACTTTAAGGCTGGGCTCAGACTCCTCTAGGGAGAGGCACTGAGTCTCTGTGCCCTGTCCCTTCCGGCATCCTCTCGGCACCTCTCGTCCTGACCATGCAGGTGTGTGTTTCCACACTGGCTTCCTCCTACCCTCCTACCTGGGTGCTTCTTGAGAGCACATGCCTTATTGTGAGCCAGCACACAGCAAGGGCTTGCTGCAAATATGGGATTCTCTGCCTTTGGGAAGCTCATCGTGTCCACCTGAGGCTGCTTCCTGTTCTGAAAGCCAAGCATCTTTAGAAGCTTAATAATGGTGTGTGATACCACACACCCACCAGTGGAGAGTAATCAGAGGGCTTGTGAGGTGATGGGCACTCTCCTACGTGGTTAGAAAGCGTGCCAGTTGACATGAACACTTCAGGACTGTTTGTGGTAATACCTGCTAAAGCTAAACATAAGCCTGCCCTATGATCCAGACAGAATGAGAGCACACGTCTGCTCAAAGGCACATAGAGAATGTTCACAGCAGCTTTGTGATCATAGCCCACATGACAACCCAAATACCCGCCAGTAGGAGAATGGATGAATAAGCCATGGTACATTCATATAATGGAATACTACTCAGCAGTGAAAAAGGACACGCTATTGGTACACATACAACATAGATGAATATCATGGGCAATGTATTAGTGCAAGAAGCTGGACACAGAGGAGCCCATACTGTACAATTCCATTTATATGAAGTTCAGAAACAGGCAGAACTAATCAATGGTAATAGAAGCCAGTGGTACCTCTGCTGGGGGTCTGGTATCGACTAGGCAGGGACATGAAGGAATTATGTTTGAAAGTTCTCTGGAATGTTCCCTGGCTTGACGTAGGTGGTGATTACAAGGGTGTATGTATGTGTAAATAAATCATCAGGTTATATACTTAAGGTGAGTGGATTCTGTGT